GCTGCTGGTACATGCCGAAATTACGCTTTACCTAATCTCATCCAAAGCTCTTGACTTAGCCTCGGATCATTAAACGCAAATCATGGCCGTCATGTTGGAAGAGACTCAGCTGACCGTGCAGCAGCTTTTCGGAGGCTGTAAATCACCAAATGCCCGGCTTTCTCCCTCGGAGCAGCTGGTAGCTTGAGACTCCCTTTGAGTTGGGAGTGCGGTTTCTTCCCCGGTCGCTCCCCGAGCTCCTCCTACGTCATTAGTTCTCTGCTCTTTCACATCTGTCCGCTTCTGTGTCTTTGAGTGTTAATCTTCATAGACATTGTTAAGAGCTTTTTTCACCTTTTTTTAAAAAAGTTAATTTCAAGGAACATTTACAGAGATTTTTGATTTCCATTCATTCATTGTTGTACTTTTCTCCTCGCCCACCCACCCCCCCCACCCGCTGGAGCTTTTTTTACTTTTCAGTCTGATTGGTTCATCCTACATTTGCTGGGACCAAACTTGAATGCCATTTAGAATAGAATTCAAACTTTGTAGAAAATGTGTTCTTTTTCAAAATTTGGCTGTTTGGAAGGCCTTTGTCTGCATAGGGTTTCTGTAAGCATGCTGGATCAGTCATCAAGGCTGAGCCTCAAGGCGGGCTGGACACGCCACTTTGTTTTTCATTTGTTGATGGAAGTGTGATGGGGCTGATGTTGGCCGCTTGTGCGGAGAGGCCTGGGAGTGTGGTTATTCACGTTGGTGGCCTGTTCTGGAGACACACATCACAGCAGTGGGACATGTCCACTCTGCGCTCACGTAGACAGGCAGTCTGGAGTGAATACCGGGCGCCGTTATTGAAGTCATTCCCCAGAAGGAAGCACCTGGGATAAACTCTGAGCCTGTGTGCTGTCAAAGCAGGCCAACTCGTTGGTGAGTTTGAAAGAAGCACTTCACGTCAGTTTTCTAGCTCCACCTCAGGTCTGTTCTCTGCCAGAGGACGTGTCTGGTCCCACTCAGGAGGTGAGCTGCGCTGGCCAGCCGAGCTAGGACTAAGGGCATGCGGCGCGCTCGGTAGGTGGAGCGCGGATAACAAGGCAAACATTTTATATCCCACGTGTCTGCCTTTAGTTAGCTCCGCGTTGGAAGTCGGACGGGGGCATGTCACTATTCCCTCAGGACCCGGCTATCTTAGTGCACTGGCTTTAAGTTGAAGAGATGAGCAGACAGCATGAGAATTGAAGTCTAGGTGTCGGGGCCCATCCAGACGGGGCCTGAGAGTGTCGTTTCTAACTGTGGGCCACGCTCATTTTGAATAGGATGGCTGGTTCTTCAACCCCCACAAACCACACTGACCTTAGCCAAGGATTCGATGACCCATGGCCACTGACCTTGGGAGCATCTCTGAGCCGAGCGGGAGTCAGAGGGATTGGATTCTCAGGGTGTTGTCTTTCTGGCGGTCACTGATGGTGAGAAGAGACCGTCAGTGCAGCTCCCTGACCTGGGCGTGTGCTCGCGGCCACCACGCCTGAGCACACCAGACGACTCTCTCTGTTAGCACAGTGGATCCAGGGGAGATGCCAGAGCCCTGATGGCCCAGCAGGTTCAGTGTTAGGTTGCTAACAGAAAAGTTAGCAGTTCACAAAATAAAAAATTAATTAAAAAAAAATCCGATTTGACGGTACAAAAAATACACACACAAAATAATAAAAAATAATAAAAAAGCCAGCAGTTCACATTTACCAGCTGCTCTTAGAAAGGTGAGACAGTGCCCGTCCATAAAGACTCAGCCTTGGAAACCTTTCTGGGCCCAGAATCCACTTTAGTGGGATTTTATAAGGGAGGTGGTGTATTTGTTTACACAGTTTATAGTTAAGTACTTAACCTCTTATATTGTGGAGTTGAGCCCTCAGCCATATATATATATATATATATATAGGCTCTGGATTGGTCATTCCTTAAGCCTAGGCTTGTCACCCAAGTGTTTTCTGCATGTAACTGGGGTTTTTTAAATGAACAAATAAATAGTTGGTGGAGATACTAACATAAGGAGTAGTATTGCCCCTTTCTAGAAAGGAGGCAGAGCAATTCACAGCAGACCAAGAGCTGACCAACTGTGCCCGGTGGCCTGGGTGCCCAGGGATTGCTCAGAAAGACTAGACGTGTTAGTACTAGGAGTGGCTCGGGGAAAGGGCCACATTGTCACCATCCCGATGGAAGTGGTGAGAGAGTATGGGCTGGTCTCCTGGGAGAGGAAAAGTCTCTAGAACTCTGGAAGGGAAGACGCAGGAGGAGACAAGTCCGGTTATTATTCTAGCTCAGATAAAGCGGCATCTGCAAGACAGGCTTCGTGCGTAGGACACTTGGTAAACTGTACATCTGCCGCACACTTCCAAGGCCAGGTCCCCCAAAGCGGATAGAAACTGCTCTCGCACGTGGTTCCAATTGCCTTTCTAGAGTCTCTGGCTTGAAGAGCAGACCCCTTCCAGCTAGTGACAGAAAATGCTAACAGGTTTGAGGAGGATGTTGCTATAAAGTACTTCAGGCCTTGTCAGTGAACCCAGGTGACAGGCTGGTAAGGTTTCAGAGACGTGGGCAGCACTGAGCTGGAGACAGAAGCTGGGGAGTGGATGATGTGGACATGACCTTCACAGTGAGGAGGAAGGGACGCTGAGCATTTAAGCGCTGTACCACCAGACACAGTTGAAGGCCATCGACTCCTCCATGGTCTTCCTCAGTCACTGCCCGACCTCCACATGTGTTGGAAGCGACTGAACATGCCCCGGCTGGTCAGGCGCACCTCCCTCAGGCCGACCGCCGTCAGCTCTAACACTTTAGAGTTCTTTGACAGCAGATCTGCCCAGTGCGGCCCAGCCTGTCCTTTTGCGACTGCTGTGGCCGTGGGTGTTGATGTCGATCTCTGTCAAATCCTTGACAACTCCATTTTTAACTCTGTCATGATGCTTCCTCTTGGTCCAGCTGAAAAGGTTTTGTTTCCTTGATGTTGAAGTGTAATCTACATTGAAGGCTGTAGTCTTTGCTCTTCTAAGAAACATGCAAAATTTAAATACTGTGAAAATGGCTTTCAAGAAGAACCTTGAACAGAGTTACTCATTTATCAGAGATGTGTTTGACAAACTCTTATGTGGTGGCCAGACAGATGCCAAGGGGGGAAGAAAAGGAAACTCGTCACCAGAGGCTCTGCTGGAGAAGGCGGGGCAGTCTCCTTCTGCACCAGTCAGATCTGATTTGATGGTACACACACACAAAGTAATGAATTTTATTTTAAAAAAAAAACAAGCAGGAAATTCGCCCTTCTGTCTCTACAAGTATCACCCCCACCGCCCACTTCTAACTTGGGGGGACCCTTTAGAGCGTCCTAGGCTATAAATCTTGACTGAAGCTGACTGTGGCATTTTTTTCCCTTCTGGAGCTGCTGGTGCTTTTGAACCACTAGCCTTTGACTTAGCAGCCATTGTGTTTAACCACCATGTCACCAGGGTGTCTCCCATATGTGTAATATACACATTTCATACATAACCCACTGTGTGCTGTGGTGTCGATTCTGACCCACAGTCCCACATGACCGACAGGGTTTCCTGGGCTCTCATCTGTACGGAAGCAGATGGCCTCATCTTCTCCCACGGAGCAGCTGCTGGGTTTGAACTGCGGTCCTTTGAGTTGGCAGATGCATTCTTGCATTGTTTAATCACTGGGCTTCCTGCTCCACCCCTCCCCCAAGCTTTGTTTGAGCTTCCCCCCCCCCCCAAAGTCTTTTTAAGAGATTAAGAAGACCATGGATGCATCTTTTTGGTAGAACAAAGGCTTTGGATTGTTAATAAATTGAAATTTTCATGTATCAGGCTCAGTTTCAGCAAAGTAGTAGTCTGGAGTCCAAGTATGTATTCATTTAAAGTTATCCCTTACTCTGTAAGAGAGAACTATTATTTTACCTGATTTTTAAAAGCATCATTATTTCTTGAGGATTACAGGGTGTCAACTATGTAACATTGATTATCAGTGACCCTGAACTTCAGGCTGTTTGAACCCTGTGCTGTGGTCTATGGCTTGACCTCTCTTCCTTACTAGGACTCATGATACCTCCCTCTTTTGTAGAGTTCCAAGGAACTTCTACTGTTGTTACAAACCTTGGCAGGCAAGCAGTTACTGTTTACCAGGTCACATAGTAAAGTCCACCTGTTCAAGCTGTCCTGCTAGCTGATGTCACCTCATCACTCTGGCCTTCTGTTACCTACCCCTTTAGATTGAGAACCTGGTTAGCAAACCCTCTTGGTGTTAAACATTACAGCTTCTATTCTTTAGGCGTGGGAGAACGGCTTGGTCCCCAGTAAAGATGTATGCTTGTTGTACTTCACACTACTTAGTGAGGTTTTCACAGGTCAGGGTGGGGACTGCAGTGCTGGCTCCAAGGGGTGGGAGCTGAGGGGAGCAACACACCCCAAGTTCTGGGCTGGTGAGATCAACCTGGTACTAAATCAACAGCGTTAGGATTAGTGCTCCCAGCTTGAGAAGGCAGGATAATGGCTTTTTAAAAATGTTTCCTCAGTGTCAGATCTATATATTCTTTGTAAAGAGTTTAGGAAGTAAAAGAAAAACTACACATAAAAAAAACAACATCAAGGGCAAAAAGCCTAGTTTCCGCTGGGATTTCGATGTTTCCCCAGTCATTTCTGAAACGGTCTTATTTTAAAATGCCATTGTTTATTATACTCAGGTGCGATGAAAGGGGGAGCAGTGCACGAAGCAGAGCAATTTGGATTTCTTGTCTTACTGCTAAAATGACAGCTGGGAGAATCCGACTCAGACCCTAGAGTTGTGCTGTAGGGTCCCCCGTCTCCTGGCCAGATAGTACACGGGACGTCCGGGTGAACGTGCTCTGAGTCGAAGCACCGCCCAGTGACTGCGACGGGACTGACACGTGTCAGCTGTTCTCCGTGCTCTGTTTTGTGGGACCCCAGTTCTCGCCAGGTTTTCACTGGGTTCCTGCTTGTGTTCCCCCTCAGGCGGGCGCCACGTCCATGTGGGCTTCCTGCTGTGGGCTGCTGAATGAAGTCATGGGCACCGGCGCGGTGAGGGGCCAGCAGGCAGGATTTGCAGGAGGCGCCGGGCCGTTCAGATTTACCACCAACCCTGACTTCTCCTCCTACCCACCAGCAGCTACAGACGGGCCGAATATAGTCTGCAAGGCCTGTGGACTCTCGTTTTCCGTTTTCAGAAAGAAGGTGAGTCGGACGTGGTAACACTGCATACCCAACACCTGGCTCCTAGAGGATTCTGAAGAACGAATGAGTCTACATTCCTTTCTTAAAACTCAGAACAGCAGGAAAGACAGAAAACCGGAGTGCCCGTTTCCCACCGTCTCAGTGACGCTTTCCCATTTAGAAGAGGCCTCTGTTGAGGGGATTGTTTACTAACTGGCCGGTCTGTGGTCTGCATCCTCTCTTGAACTCGGCCCATTTCTGGCCCTTAGATTCTCCCTGGTGCTTCATTTTTTTGGCATCTTTTGTTGAGAATATGCCCATCACCCCACACACGAGCTGTTTCTACATGTACGACTCCACGATTGGGATTGCACTGTCACCCTCCTCCTCGGTGCTGGTGGTCCTCTATTAACACAGCTCTGCCCCCTAAATCCTCCCGCACCTTGTCGGCGGCTCCTCAGGGCCGTGCGGCTTCTAGTCCCAAGTAGGGTTTCCATAGCCCGCAGTGTAGGTCAGAGAGGCTCTAGTGTAAATTGGATCTCCAGGTTGTAAAAGAAATGCTATCCCCAGCGACACTGTTCACTCTGATGCCGTGAGCTGAGTGCTTTCCTAGGTCAACGCAAAATCCTAGGTCAGTCGTCTGGCCAGGAGCCCGTGCTGGCGTGGCCGTCTGTGCTCCTCAGTCCAGTCCTGAAATACGCGGGAAGCCACGTGTGAGCTGGTGGGAAGGATGCCTAAAGCAGCAGTGGCCGCACCTGAGCCTCAGGCAGATACCAGTTGCACCCACTTCTTGGCTTGACCCTGAGGAGCCCAGCCGCCCCTCTCTGTCCCTCTGCCGCGGTTCTCATCTGCCGCTGCTTTAAGTGGAGAGGACCATTCGCATAGAAAGTGGAGTTTGTGGTTGTGCTGCCTGCTCCGTGGTGCAAGTCAGCTCCGTCGAGCTAATTACATGTTTGCAGCGGGGGTGGGAAGGTTTAATTCGTGAACACAAGCCTGTGATTTCTTAGGGTGCTGTGTCTGAATTGCCGTGGACCCACACTTCCCAAGCCTGGCTGGCTCTGGGGCTTCCTCCCGGTGCTGGCTCCTGGGGGAAGCTGGTGGAATGGCGGCTGTCTGTACATGTGCATGCGGTGTCTTTCTGTCCCTCCAGCACGTGTGCTGTGACTGCAGGAAGGACTTTTGCTCTGTGTGTTCCGTCTCACAAGAGAACTTACGCAGATGCGCCACCTGCCACTTACTCCAGGAGACGGCCTTCCAGCGGCCTCAGTTAATGCGCCTCAAGGTCAAGGACCTCCGGCAGTACCTCCTCCTCCGGAACATCCCCACGGACACGTGTCGGGAGAAGGCAGACTTGGTGGACCTGGTGCTGTGCCACCGTGGACTGGGCCCCGAGGAGGACACGGACACCAGCAGCCTCCACTCCTCGAGGTCCCAGACTTCTAGCCTTTTTACACATTCATTCTTTTCGAACTACACAGCTCCCTCCGCTACCATGTCTTCGTTTCAGGGAGAGCTTACGGACGGAGACCAGACGTCAGGGCCTGGAGCACTGGCACAGGTACTCGGGAGTGGCCGCCCGCGGGCAGCCTTCGTGGCTGGCTGGCCTCAGGGAGGAGCCTGCTCCCAGTGCGGGCAGAGGCTCCTGATGAGAAGCCTCGGTGCTTTCCGAAGGCCCAGAACTGCTCACTCGTGCTTGGACCTTGGTGCCTCAGTTTCCCTATCTTATAGAGGATGGCTTTTGCTCCCAACAGCTATTTACTGAGGCTGTGAGCATGATAATTATGTTGCAGTAACACGAATGACATACATAATGCTGGGGAAGGTAGGGTATAGGTGTTTGGAGGCTAGGTGTGCCATATTCGTGAGCCTGCTGCCCGACTGGAGTAAAACATCGCACAGACAGGGAGGTGAGCTCGTGGTGCCGCCCCGTCAGTCCGGCCCAGCAGGCCCCTGGGCAGTCATTGGTAGAGAGGAGCAGGCCTGCAGGGGCTGGCTTGTTCGTTACGGCATCTCGGCATTTCATTCCGCGGCCAGAAAGAAATCAGTCCTGATGCCATCGTGCCTGTCTCAGCTCACGGTGGCCCCACGTGGGTGTCCTGCAGGCCGAGGGACCTTCCAGATAACCTTAGGTCGGGATTTAGTCCCCCCACACAAGAGCTGGTACACCTGGGCCCAGCAGACAGCCCTCGGGAGGCAGCTCCGGTGCGAGTCTGCGCGCAGGACCTTGGTGGGTGGCGGCCGAGGAAATGCTCCTCGGCGGGCCGAGGTCCACTCACAGGTACATGGGGTAGCAGTGCCCAGCCTGTCCAGACCTGCGAGAGGGTTAAGTCGAGAGTGTTCTTGGAAATGACCACATGGTGGGAGGTCAGGGTTTGCCAAGCCGCTTGGGGTGGCCAGGCAGCACTTTGGTTTCTGTCTGCAGATTTATAGGGAACTTGGACAATAAAGTCTTCCTGAAATGAGTGTCCCCTCTTAGGGAAGGGCAGCAGTGTTCTGGAGCTACCAGGGGTGGAGGGTGAGTCCCCTTGGGGGGGACTTCGCAGAGGCTGTGTCCAGGGGTGAGTGCAGACTGCACCATGAACGTACCTAACGAGGTATACTGTGTGTACGCAGAGTGACCTAGCTTCCGCCAATACCGATGAGGAGGAGGAGGAGGAGGAGGAGGATGAAGACAACACCCAGGAGCAGGTGAGGCCCTCCGTAAACGGGTGTCCCAGCTTGGCGTTAGCACGGCTGTCCTGTGGTGTGACTGCAGCCCCCACCGTGCCGTGTGGGTGGACCGGCCGACGGGCCCGTAACCGGCACTCTGATTGCAGACCCCAGGGCTCTCCAGGAAGAGGGTGAGGGCGTCCTTGTCCGACCTCTCGAGCCTCGAAGACGTGGAAGGGATGAGCGTGCGTCAGCTCAAGGAGATCCTGGCGCGGAATTTTGTCAACTATTCTGGCTGTTGTGAGAAATGGGAGCTGGTGGAGAAAGTCAACAGACTGTACAAAGAGAATGAGGAAAACCAGAAGTCCTGTAAGTGTCTTTTCCTCTTTAACGTCTGTCCTTCCACGGCCTTTAAAAGCCGGCCCGTAACTTCTGGCTGCCGCTGGTTAGATCACTACGGCTTTTCTCTCTGTAATTCACTGTCAGAGATCGACCCAATTCCTTGTTTCTAGAAAAATGCCCATTTCCTCATTAGCTTCTCTGGCAAGCTTGTCTGTGCTTTGCTTATCTGTCATAGCTTTTAAATCCCAACCCTAGTGTGGGTCCTGGAAGCCTCTCAAGCCGAGATGTTAAGCAGTTCTTAGCAGCAGTTATCCCTGGGTTTGTGTGTAAGCCGAGGTCACCAACTCCAAACTATTCACTGATAAAGCTCAGAGCAGAAACCCTCGCTGACATTGAAGGTCCCGAGAAGAAAGTTCAGTGGTCTCCAGCAAATCTCAGACACCTCAGTAATCCACTTGGGCAGTGCCTCGGGAAAAGCTGGCTGGCAGGCGGCCTGTGTTGGCTGACACCTGCAGCGTGGGGAACAGACTCTGACACACCTGGTTTTAAGGTGCTGCCACGTGGTGGATGCAGGAGTCTGCTCAGAGCCTGCAGACTGGTAGCGAGCAGATAGCATTCTGGCAAGGACAGGGATGCCTTAGTCCATAAACGTGGGTGCCCGCCAGGCAGAGCACCGTGCTGGCCCCCCTGCAGTCAGTCAGGTCACCTTCCTCAGCTACCTGTCTGTGTGTAACTGAAACCTAGGTCCTCCACCCATGGGTGGGTCACACGGTGTGTTCCAAGCCCAGCTGGCATCTTTCTTGGCTTGACTTTGGCTTGGCTTCCATCAGGAGTCACCCCTGTGTAGTAGCTTGTGAGGCTTCTCCACGTTTGCTCCTAAACTCTCAAAGAGTTGGAAGCTTCCAGGCAAGAAAGCAGACCGAGGCTCAGAGCTATGGGTTCATAGTCTCTCTTCTCTATTCCCAGGGCCCAGGGAGGCGGTGGCGGTCATAAACTAGGGCCCCATGAAGGAAGGTCCTGTAACTGTGAGGGGTTCTCCTCAGATCCAGAGATCACTAACTATCGAGCCCTGAGTTCTTGTTCTCTGGCCACATCCACAATTCCCGCAGATCCTCTGTGGTCCAGAGAGGAAAGAGCAGTGCCCAGAGCCCTGGGCCAAGTCTTGGGAAAGTCAGCTCTCACCTGCTCGTGCCCTTGCTGGGCCAGCCCCATCCCTGCACCGGCTTTGAGGTGCTCCCCAGACTTGGGGCTGCCTCCAGCATATGCTGTTGTCCTGAGTCCTCTGATTAGACACCCGAGGACCCCCCCCAGTCCTCTGAGCACATGGCCCCCAAGGACAGCCCTCCAGATGGCCCGTGTTCCTCCCAAGAGTCACTGGTGGCTCAGTGGTTAAAGCACTCCACTGTGGCCAAGTTTGTAAGGACCCAGCCTTAGAAACCCTATGAGGCAGGGCTGCTCAGGGTGAGAATCCACTCAGTGGCCAGGTGTTGGGTAGTCTAAACACATCATTTCTACAGACGTGACACCAGTTCATCACAGAAATCCTGAATTACATAGATGTGGTAAGAACCCGTTGATTCAGAACTGGCCTTAGTCGTGAGGGAAGTGATTGGCCAGCTCTCGCTCATGCAGCAGCTGCTGGGTTTGAACCGTGTGCCTTTGAGTCGGCAGCACCGCTCCTTGCCACTAGACCGAAAGCTCCCTACAAAAATGACATAGATAGAGGAACTGAATGGTCATGAGACTCGGGCTTCACATCACTCCCCTTCTGTGTGCGGGCCTGAGGTGCTAGGGTCAACGTGCTGGCCTTTTCAGGTCCCCGCGGGCGAGCTGTTGGGGTGCGGCAGCAGCGGTCAGTCCCTTCTCCCCACTGCATTGCCTTCCAGACGGTGAGCGGCTGCAGCTGCAGGACGAGGAGGATGACAGCCTGTGCCGCATCTGCATGGACGCGGTCATTGACTGCGTGCTGCTCGAGTGTGGCCACATGGTCACCTGCACCAAGTGTGGTAAGCGCATGAACGAGTGTCCCATCTGCCGGCAGTACGTGGTGCGAGCCGTGCACGTGTTCAAGTCCTGATCCCAGCGCCGGGTGCCAGCAAGGGACTCCACGCGCGCCACTCAGAAGATGAAGCTATCTTGAAGTTCTTTTCACTCCTAGCGTGGAAATGCTGGACCACGCCACAGCCCATCTGCCCAGCGTGTGCAGTGTTACCACCTGTCACAGACTGGAGGCGCCTCTCCTGTCCTGGGGCTGCCCCTTCAGCCTGTTCTAACTCCAGCCACTGGATGTTTAAACTCCCGTCCTCCACGTGGCCTCCTCGTGTCTGAGACACGTGACAGCCCCTGTCCACTTGGGTGTATTTAACAGCTACTCTTTGATGAATGTACCTTTCCATCATTGCTATTCCCGCACCTAAACCTAACTGGGGACAAATGACATTCTCTAGACAGCGCCAGGGCCTTGGACACGTCCAGTTACGTTCAGGTAGCTTTTTCTAGCAAGGGCTGCATCTAGCTTCTTCGTTAGAAGTGTGTGCGTGTTTAATCCTCTACTGATGTGTAATCCATTTACATGGTTTTGTATAGTGAAAGTGTATTTTCAGTGCTACCTGCTAGCTAATTTCAATTTTAGAAATAAAATTCGATTTTAAAAGATCCCTGTGTTGTTGATGCCTGTCCTCAGGGGCCGGTGCATGTTGCAGAGGCCCAGGGCCGCCCCAGTCAGGAAGGGGCGTGCTGCTCAGTGGACCTGGACACTGACCACGTGCTCTCGATGGGCAGAAGGCCCTTTCCTGCATTTCACAGGGTCTGTGGCACCCAGTTCTGGCATATTCTAGCGGGATGTGCCCCCTGGATATCTGTCACATTTGTCGGCTCTGGTGGCCTTAGTGGGTAAGGAGTTGCGTTATCAACCCAAAGGCAAGTGGTCTGAATTTACCAGGTCCTCTGCAGGGGAAAGATGGGCAGTCCATTGCTGTGTGGCCTCCTGCCTCTAAAATCCCGCTGGATGGTCAGCTGTGAGTCGGTTCCAACCTGACGGTAGTAACAAATCCACAACAGAATATGCACCAAACCCTAAACTCGGTCTTCTACTCAATTCCAGCTTCCAGCGACCCTCTGCTGCGTTTCTGGAGCTGGAAATCTTAATGGGAAGACAGTGCCCATCTTCCCCGGTTAGCAGTGCACCCTCAGAGCGCAGGGAAGCTTGGCTGCTTTGTTCCGGGGCTCTGGCCCTGAACCCTGAGTCTTCTGAGGTCAGCCCGCCCTTCTCCGGGAGACAGGCTGCTTCGTGCATGCCCTCGGGTGCCCACTGGTTCTGGAAAGCAGCTTCAGGAGGCGAAGGGCCACCGTGTGTTAAGAGCACGGGATGCCTGTTCTGCTCTGAAGGCGCTTTCTCTGTGGTCTTGTAGAGAATAAAAGCCTCTAAAACCAAAGCTTTACGCACGTGAAAGCAGAGGAAGCTCAGGGCCTGCCCAGCTCGGGGCGTGTCGCTCCTCTGTGGTCCCCTGCTGTCCCTGACACCCTGAGAGGCTCCTCAGCCGAAGACCTGACGAGGTGTACTGAGTCCTTAAATCTAGGCCAGCAGGTGACAGTAAAAGAACGTAAATAGAAGCTAGGCAGCAGGTGCTAATTCGGTCTAAAATGAGATGATTCAGACTCCTTTGTATAGAGTTTCAACTTAAAAATTCCTCCAGCATGACTTCCTGGGTTTACGTTTGAATGCTGTTCTTTATTTCACAAGTGCAGAAGCCCTTTGTGGCACCTACTTCTGGGATATCGAAGTGCAAGGTCCTAACGTGTCGGTGGGAAGCAGTGCTCCAGGGACTGCACCCTCAGCTGTCATGGAGCAGGGGGGTAAAATCCTGAAGGTCCCCAGACCAGGACAGAGAGAGCAGTGTCCCTTCCTGGACATGTCCTGGAGAGTCCGGGGCGTAGTCCGAGCTTGTGAGGGCCCGGAGCCTGGGGTTCTCAGAAGCCTTCACTAACAGTCTGGTTCCCAGGAGGAAAGGGTGGCGTTTGTCTCTCTGGACTCGGGAAATGCAGGCTGACCCAAGCAGTGTGCCTGCGTCTGTGGACCCTTCGTCACGTCACAGGATACAGGCTGCGGGCTCAGAACAGCTGCTGGGAGCACCTTCAGGCTGCCCTCACCTAACATGCTTCACTCCAGAACGTCAGTGAAGCAGCAACTGGGCTGTGCAGAGTGACATGGGGAGGCTGCCAGGGAGAGAAAGGGCACAAATGCAGCCTCTGGACCAACAGGGCAGCTGTCTGGGCTCCAGGCCCTCTTGGCAGCAGGCAGCACTTGGCCGTCACCCTCGGGCAAAGCACCGCCTCATGGCCCGCGTCTGCCAGCCCAGCTGTGGCAAGGCGCGACGTCAGCTCACCTGTAAGCCCTGCTACTTACAACGCGCCCGCCAACGAGCCAGGGACTTCTCTAGACACTGGAGCTGTGCAGTTATTCCTAGAGGTTCGAAGACCTCGGCTGCCTCCCGTGGGGACACGGCTTGCTGAGGGGACAGGCCTGCAGTGCCAGCCCCTGACCACACACACAGCTGTGGAGGGGCCTCAGCTGCAACCCGGGTCTCAGGACGAGGACTTGGACTGTGTCTTATTTGATAAAATCTTTGGCTGGGGTAACAGAAAAGGAGAAGAGGCAAACAGGGAACTCTAGAGTTAGCACAGAAAGCCTGGCCGTTGGGCCAGTTTCCCCACTAACGAGAGAAGCCGGTTACTCTCTCCATCTTCAAACAACTACAGGCGTCTCTGTGTCTGGGAAGGGGGCACGGCCCTGCGTGAAGACCTGGGGTGGTCTGCTTTGTACCAGCGCATGACCTGCCAGGGGGTCTGCCAGGCTTCTCAGGAAGGCCAAGAGAGAACACCCCACAGGCCCTTGTGCTTCTCAGATGAGGGAGAAACCAGGGCCTGGCCTCCAAACGGCATCCCCGGTGTTGAGACCCTACCACCTCGGCATTTCCCCATGACACTTCTGAAAGGAAACACTCCAAGAGTGGGGGTTTTTGTACAATTGTTTATACAAAGTCAACAAAGGTAAAACCGCACCTGGGGAGGTCTAGGAACACACCACCTTACAACAATGGCACTTAAGAATGCGTAACGTTACACCGAGGAAGGAGCCGTGTTCTCACCATGACCGAGAACTCCACTCACCCTTCAGAGAAGAGAGGGAAGGAAGGCCGTGTTGGGTCCTTTATTCTACTTAACTCACGTAGAACTAGACCAAGTTCAAGAGCTCATGCTGGGGCGGAGCCCTCCTGAGTGCAAAGGCTAACGTTGGAGTTTTAAAATCTTGAGAAAAAGGTGAACTCTATACGGAGAAAAGGTGGCAGAGTGTCCTGTCTTACACGTCAGCTAGGATTTACAGAATGCCACAACATGCTCACGGTGACCCCCAGACACGCACAGCAGCTTCCCACCCTCCAGGGGAACATGCTCTCGGGGGCTCACCTGCTCAGTCTGGGGATGTGTTCTCTCACCTTGGGGAAACCGTGAGAGCTGGCAGCCTCCAGACAATAAAAACACTGGTATGCATCCAAACCCTTGCATAAATAACTTTTAAACAATTTGTACAAAAATAGTTCTGCATAATGTAAGCGGTAACAAAAATCAAACCCCCCCCCGCCGGAAAACAAGGTGTGGAGTCATGGCAGATGTGGTGGTGCGGCCCACGCCGAGGCGGCCGGAGCCTGAGCTGTCCGGGATGAAGGGTCCGAGGACAGAAGACGAGCTGCGCCCCCAACGCTCGTGCGGAACCACGAGCCGGACTCCCGTCCTGCACGACGAGACATGGCCCACAAGCAGCGGTCACCCATGGTTCACAGACACCGGGGCCTCAACGGCTTTCTCCTTGGCAAGACTTGCAAAATGGAACCGTCACGTGGTCTGTTGTTCCCAGGTCCAAAGTGAAAAGAAAATCCGTTTCCTCTGCCCCCCTCCGCGCCGGCCCCCTGCCCACGCAGTATTTACACACTTGACCAGAGACTAACTCAATTTTTGCAGGAGTTTTTCTTCCACTTGCCCAAACTGGACGCTCACAGACATTTCTGCTATGAACTGCTCACAGCCTTCCTTGGTGACCTGCTTGCAGTACCTCAGGTCAATGTGACAGATGTTTCCGCAGCGTTTGAAGAAGGACAGGCACTGGTCAGTGACCTTATTGCAATCTGCAGGGACAGGGAAACGAGGAACGTGAGGCAGTGGCCCAGGCTGCCCAATCCCCAGGTGCCCACACTGGCTGCCCAAGCATTCCCGCCCCCTGTGCCCTGAGCAGCTCTGTCCCGGGGGGCGGTCCCTCTCTCAGTAATAAAGGCTAAGATGCCTGCAAAGCACATTTTACATGCACATACTCTGGTTTAAGGAGGCCTGGTGGTCCAGTGGATGAACTGTTACTGTTAGGCTGCAAACCAAAAGGTTGGTGGTTCCAACCCACCCTGGAAACCCTGTGGGCCTAATCATCACCTGACCGGGTGGCAGAGGCAGGTCTGGCTGCTGCATTCTCTCCTGCAGAGGAGGGTGGGCTTCCCTGAGCTGGGTTTTACGCTGCGGGGCCATGTGAAGTGCATTTCTGTGTAGGTACCCCCACACGAAGCCCACACTTAGCTGGTCTTTTGTACAACCACCTGGTCAGAATGACATCGGGCACACTGGACCCTGTGCCCTCCAGCTTGAGGGCCTTTCTCCTGACCTTACTCCCGATGTCAGCTGGCGTCCAAAGCAGAGGCCGCTGAGCCTGGGGAGGAGAGGCTATCGGCTGAGGGCTGTGTGGAATGCAGCGTCCTGCAGGGCCCCCGCGCTGCCGCACTAGCCGACCTGGACTGCACTCTGAGAACCCAATCTAGTCAACTGGGTGAAATGGGAACTGGCCTCAGCTGAGACCTACGGTCACCGCTCCGGAGGGCTAACGACGCAGATCACTGCTTATCACCCCGGGTGTAAGCACAGCCGTTTTCCTACCAGAAGGAGCAGATCGTGACAAGGTGGCAGGTGGCTGCAGGGAGGAAGCCTGAGTCACTGGCAAACTGGGTGCTCTGATCAAATGAGCCCCCGTCGTATCACCTG